AGAGAGTCTCCAGGCAGATTCCCTGCTGAGGGTGGAGCCGGAAGCGGGGCTCCATCCCACGACCCATGAGATCACAACCTGAGCTGAAACCAAGAGTCCAGTGCTTAACCGACTGAGCCACCCGAGCACCCCAGGACTGAATAGATTTTAAACACTCAGCACATGGAGAACATGCTTTTAGATTCTTGAAACCAGATCTTCTATTTCTCTGTAGTTACTATGGTGATAGATGCTATAGAGATGTGCAGATCCTATTGTGACCTCTCCTTGGTGCAGGGATGCCATGAGTCTCTGGCTTCATTGTCCACCAAGGCCTGGCAGATCTGGCTGCTTCCCTTCATGCACTGAGTGGTAGAGGTGCTGTCCTTGCCTCTGGGACCAGCTATCTCCAGCCTTGGCCTGCCCTGCTAGTCAACAAAAGCAGGACTCGTCAGGGAACAATCTTCTCGGGTTGCCGTGTAATCTGAGCAAGTGAAGGTGAGTGTTGTGGGATGGGCAGCACCAGCTTCTGAAGCTTCAAATGGGAAGCTGAGCATTTACTTCTCAGAAATCATAGGATTGAGCTAACTTTTCATACTAAAAAACAAATGGCACTCAGTGGTTTAGGAAACCCTTCCATTGCACACGTAAATGCAGTGTAATATAGCCTCATTTTCCATTTTGCTAGTATTCTGTGGTGACATCATACTAATTGCACATGCATGTTAGCTGGGACACAGGAGGAATGAACTTGAATTCAGGAAGGACTTGGTCCCAACTCCATTATTAACTTTCTAAGTGACCTTGGCCATATTACTTAAATCTCTGAATCTTCATTTCTTCCTCGTCATTGGGACACTGCTTGAAAGTGACTTAGTCTGGTGTGCCCAGGTCTGTTAGAGTTCGGTCTGGCGCTCTTCCTCTCTACCATCCTCCCAGGGTGAATTTGAGGACTTTCTGTTCTTACAGGGGTGCTGCTGAGCCTCTGTTGAGTCTCTTTGTAGAGAGGAAAGCACCTGGGAGCTGATAGCACCTCATTTTCCAAAATGAAGATTCCACAGAAGCATCCTAATTAGCCACTCTCCCTCCACCCCTAAATGCTGTTTGTAGTCATCGTATTTATGAGAGAAGCTGAAGCCACATGTGACAACTGTTACACCTGAGTGAAAGGGAATAATGACTCCACTTAAGGCACAGGACATGTTTTCAGGATTGTTCCAAAGTTGGAATAATTTTCACTTGATGGTACCTAGGGGTGACTCATGGTCATGTCAGCATTTCCTCTGCTAAAACCAGCCCTTGTGGGATGTCTGGTGCCTAGGCTTGATTCTTATAAAATGTGGTCCTATCCATTTTAGAATTCAGTCAGGGCTTCAGCCCCCACCCCAGGTGCTTCTCATGGGAAAGAGTCTTCCTCTTCTCAGCCCTGAGTCCTGGTCCTCTCATATGAGGTGGGGTGACACTCAGGGAACAGGAGAGTCTCATACTTATTTCATTCATAGTAGGAAGTCTTTTTACCAGGACTTCTCTTTGGCAGCAGCAACAGTAGACTCTTGGCCCCTACTCTGTGCTCTTTTCAGTGCTTCAGGTTTCATCCCCAATGTCTGCTTTTGAATGCTTGCTCAGTTGTATTTTAACATGCTGGAGATGAGTACACCCCCGTCCCCGGTAAAAAGAGAGCTTGCCCAAGAAGTTTTGGACTTCCTGAGCGGTCAGTTTTTGAGGTTACTAAGAGGCTAGTGCCTTTGGACTAGTAGTAGTTTTGTATTCGGGTTGCTTATTGTGCAGATGTGCAAATGTGTGCTTAGTAAATCTGATGCAAGAGTTTTGTGTCCCTGGAGCCTCTACTTTCCCAGGATTCCTTGTCTGAAACTCGCTCTTTATCAAGAGGTTAATAGTCATCCAGTCAGTGAACTGTGGGATTGAATTCACCCAGTGATTAAAATGAAAGGGATGAAGGTTGTAAGATTTCCTAAGGAGTGGCAGCACCAGAGTTCAGCGGAGACTCCAGGCCATTCCTTGTATAAACTAAAAAGCTGTTGACCTAGATGATATGGTTTCCTCAGAGTTTTGGGAGGCACCTCTTACCAGGTGCCTTGTTGGGTTAGAGCGGATTCACCCCCATCCACTGCTCCCAGCATCTGACTCAGCCAGCATCTGCAATGAAGATTTTCTAGCTGCAGTGGTCACATGTCTCTTCTTGGAAAGAACAGGTATTCCCATTTTCTGGCACTGCCAGAGAATGAGGGCCAACTCAGAAGACCTTGGGTATGACCTGCTCAGAATTATCTGTTGATTCACTGGGATTTTGTTATCTTAGTGTTTCATAATCACTCAGCTGCTCATTTTCTTTTTTCTTTCTTTTTTTAAAAGATTCTATTTATTTATTTGACAGAGGGCGCACAAGCAGGGGGAGTGGCAGGCAGAGGGAGAGGGAGAAGTAGGCTCCCTCAGGGAGCCCGATGTGGGGGCTCAATCCCAGGACCCTGGGATCATGACCTGAGCCAAAGGCAGATGTTTAACCGACTGAGCCACCCAAGCACCCCTTAGCTGCTCATTTTCTTCAGCAGCTTCTTCGGTAAGAAACCATCAACATTTGCGGCAGCCTTACATTTCATGAAACATATGCACATTAGCTCATTTAGTCCTTATAGCGCACTTGAAAATGTGAGGCAAAGGGAGTTACCCTATTTATGGATGAGGAGACTCAGCCTTCAAGGAGTTATGACTTACTACAGCCATGCAGCTACTAAACATTGGGAGTCCAGATCTCAATCCCAAATCTTTAAAACTCTATAAAGACCACGCCCTTTGTGCAAGGCCCAGTTGCCTTTCCATTCCCAAAGGTGAGCTGAGTCTATAGCAATAATCAGTAGTTAGCAGGAGCCCAGAAGTGCCCCAGTAAACTGACAGGTCCATGAGTGTCACTCCCTTGTCCCTCTCTACATTCCAGCTTCCCTGAGGTCTGGGAGCAGAGCAGGGCCAGTCAAGTGGCTGTTTACCTAAGGCAGATGGCACTTCTGCATGTCCATTCATTGAATGGCATGCAAAACTGGCCCTTGGTGCGGGGTTTACCCTTATCAATGCTGGATTGTAAACCGTGCCAAGGAGAACAAATTCTTGTCCACACCACATCCAGGAACAGGGCTTTTTCCTCCTCTTGAGAGTTTCTTGGTGTCTTAGTAAGGTTTGAAAAGCTCAACCTGGAGTGTCTTTTAGGGCAGACCAGCTAGTAAATAGTTCTGGGTTCATACTCAATTCCTTTTGTAGCATTTGTATAATTTAACATTTATTATCAAGTGTTTTCACAGTCATCATCTTATTTGATCCTCCCAGTGGTCTTTTGGTATGGAACACTGGGCAAGTATTCATTCCTACAGGTGAAAAATATAGAGAGAGATTTGGAGGCTCTGAAGAGATGTACCTTCCTGTCCCTGGTTTCTTCTCTCAATAGTAGCTCTAGGGTTCTTTGTTCCCAGATCATATAAAGGGTTTATACGTAGGATGTTAGAATTTACTCTTTTTATGTTGACACATATTCAGAAAAGAATTTTTAGGTAAACAATCTATTTATATCTGCTGAGGCCCCATGGGACTATGTGGCATCATTAAGAATTGACACGGCCTGATTTATGGTATTGGTAAATGGGAACAGGTATTCTCTCACTTAAATATGAAAAGCCTCTAGGGCATATAGAGAAGGAACAGATCCTATAATCCAGGAAAGAGAGAGTCTGGGATTCTTGTATTCTAACATTTATGGGGCACATAATGAACATGGTTTCTGTGAGAGGTAATACATTATTTTTGAACTGTGACCCTCCTGAATGTCACAATATAAGTGGGTGAAGTGAGATCATAGACAAAGATGTATACAATTGAAAGGTATTTATTGAATGCAAAAGTAGAAAACACACAAAAAACCATGGGCAGTGGGAAGGAACCTGTACCAGTGACCAGAGGTAAGCCTTCAGATAAAAGAAACTGGAGTCCTGGGCCCCTGTGTGGCTCAGTCCGTTAAGCGTCTGCCTTTGGCTCAGGTCATGATCCCAGGGTCCTAGGATCGAGTCCCGCATCGGGCTCCTTGCTCGGTGAGGAGCCTGCTTCTCCCTCTCCCTCTGCTGCTCCCCCTGCTTGTGCTCTCTCTCCATCTCAAATAAATAAAATCTTAAAAAAGAAAGAAAGAAAAAAGAAACTGGAGTCCTCATTACTTCTAGTGCTGGCTAAGAAAAAGTAAGCAGAGGCCAGTGGAGTGCCTACCCTCATAGGCACTTGGGTGAGAAGCAGCCTCCCGGGGCGGGGGAGTGCACGTTGAACTAGGCCTGTTCAGAGGGCTCAGAGGGGGCCAGGGAGCCAGTGCCTAGCTCTGATGTGAAGAGAACAGCTGAGGCAGGGACTACAGGGGAGACCCTGGGCCTTCTGGAGCCCCAGGAGGGGAGCAGTAGAGAAAACACAACATATCTGGGTAAATGCAGAACCCAGCCTAACTGGGCCCTATGGGATGAGAATGGCCTTGGCCAGCTTAGAGGCATGGGAAACACAAACAGGTCATCAGGTAGAAAATTCAGACCATAAGAAAGAGAGAGAGGGAAGGGAAGGAGGGAGGGAGGGAGATATGAAGAAAGAAAACCAGATTACATACCAGTTAGAGGCCTAATACCCAATCAAAAAATTTTTCCCCAATTAAAATTTTTATTATTTTATTTGGTATTTATTTATTTATTTTTTTAGTAATCTCTGCACCCAGAGTGGGGCTCAAACTCCCGACCCCAAGATCAAGAGCCGCATGGCTCTTCCAACTGAGCCAGCCAGGCACCCCCGGTATTTTAGAATTTAACTAATATTTTCTTGTCCCACCCCCATTTAGCTAGCATTCTCAGTGGGCATTCTGTTTGTGCATCTACATCAGTTACAGCTCAAGTTGGAGACTGCCCAGGGTACTGACTTATAAGTAATTTGGAACATGGCATTGGACTCTGAGAAACTTGAGTCTGAGAGAGTTTTGATGATCTGTCTTGTAGGAAGCTTCTGGTTTAACTGGGGAAACATGATGACAGCACTTGTGAAAGCTGAAGAATAATCACCTCTTATTAATGTGATGCCAGTGCTATACAGGAGTAAACTCTGAGCTGGGAACAGCCTTCTGGTAAGCAGGCAGGCACTCCTGGTGCCCAACCACAGGCTGTTTAGTGGGGAGGGGTGGGAGCTATGGCCGACCCAGTACAGGAGTCTGAGCAGCTGCTTACGCCTTCCCTGTGGCGGTTTCCTCCTCTGCACATTAGGATAACAACACTAGCTCATGTGGGCATCTGTGGCTGGTCACTGTCAATTCCGGAGTGGGAGAGTTGTTCTAATTTCAGGGAGCTGGTTGCCATGCGTTTTCTTACCCCTTCCCCCACCTTGCTGTGTAGTGCTGGCTGAGCTCAGCAACCTGCTCCCTTCTTCAGTGGTTTTCCAGGGCAAAGAAAAAGAATCCAAATGGAAAAGAATTATTATAGATTAAGTCTTTTTTGTGCCTTTTGTTTTTTGATTTATTTATTTTAGAGGGAGAGCACAAGCGCAGGGAAGGGCAGAGGGAGAGAAAGAATCTCAAGCAGACTTCCCACCGAGTGGGGGTCTGACACAGGGCTTGGTCTCACGACTCTGAGATCATGACCTGAGCCGAAATCAAGAGTCAGATGCTTAACTAGCTGAGCCACCCAGGCGCCCCTGTGGCTTTTTGAATTAACAAATGGGGAATAAGTGATAATGTAATCCTGTCTGGCAGCATTGCACTTTCTGAAGTTTGTAGGACGTTTCCATGGAGGATATAATAAGAAAAAAGTTGTGAACACGTCTGTTCTTTCAAGAGCCCTAGTGCCTTGAGCCTGCAATTTACAAGGAACAAAAGGCTTTGAAGTAAGTGTTCTGGCTCTGCTGGGCAGTCCACAGGAACTTCCTTTGCTGGAAGGAACATTGGTGATGGGACATTGTTGCTACTTCTATCATATCTGGTGCTGGAGTAAAAACCTGTCAGGTGAACAGCTAGTACGGGAGTTATGGAGGTAGATTTTATAAACAGAGGGTCACAGTTTTCTGGAATTAAAATACAGAGGGCAGATGGACCTTTCTGAAATTTGTAAGAGCAAAGTAAAGGCCCAGGTGACTTCCTATGGACTAGTTAGTGCAGTATCTTACCTTAGCTGGTTTGCTTGGTCCAGTTCCTCTGTCTCTCTCCCTGTCTTCCCCCCCCCCCCCCGCCCTTTTCAAGAGAATTGGGCCACTTTATATAAAAGAAGGAGCCAATTAGCTAAAAAGTCAAGCAAATAGTGTTTATACCTTTCCAAACTACCTTCCTGTTATCGGTATACTTAGATACTTTGTTTTTTCATTTTTGTATATATAGATATATATATTTTTTAAAGATTTATTTATTTATTTTAGAGATTGAGAGCGAACACGTGTGCAAGTGGGAGGAGAGGGAGAGAGAGAATCCATAAGCAAACTCCCGGCTGAGCACAGAGCCCCATGTAGGGTTCAATCGCACAACCCTAAGATTATGACCTGAACTGAAATCAAGAGTCGGATGCTTAACTGACTGAGCCATCCAGGTGCCACTTTTACTTACATACTTTTGCACATACTTGTAGTCAGTATTTTGAGTCTTTTAGGTAAAACAAGTGTATGTAGACTTTTCCATAGTGGATGCAGCCTATCAACTTTTCCCATCTGTGCCAGGATTCTATTGTTTACGGTCCTTCGAGCAATCCTACCCTGTATTGTTAGGCTGTGTGACTTTTTTTGTAACATCATAGTATGGCTACCTACCATTTTGTTACAGATTACTATTAATACATCTTGAAGTGTATTTCCCAGAGTGGAATGTTTTTTTGTTGTTTTTCAACAACAAAAGGGGGAGAGAGAAACCTAAGCAGACCCCAGGGGGAGTGTGGCAGCAGCTTGTTGATAATGAGAGGTTGAAGTCTAGAAAATTTCTACGTTTATGATTTGGCTTCTGATTTTCTAGGGATTCCAGTGGTTGCTGCAAGACAAAAAGGATTCAAGTGTAGAGGCCAGTCAGACCAAGTTTGGACACGTAGCTTTTCAGAGAATGAAGTGAATTCTGTTTCTGACATTGCAAGGTGGTTTCTGCATGCTGCCCCACACAGCCACTCCCTTGAAGAACAGTGACCAGGCCACAGAGGTGGACAAAGGCTGCCTTCCCTGGGCCCTACTTGTGTGGGTTGAATGTGCTAATGGAGCTTTCCCCAGAACCTTCTTCCCGTCTGTGTAGATGGTGCTTTTAGTTCACATTAAGGATTTAGTATTCTTGCCTCTAATTGGAGTAGGACAGTATCTATTTTTCCTTCAAAACAAAATTGTTAAATCATATTTGGAGTTTAGAAAACTATTGAAGGGGGCGCCTGGGTGGCTCAGTTGGTTGGGTGACCGCCTTCAGCTCAGGTCATGATCCCAGGGTCCTGGGATCGAGCCCCGCATCGGGTTCCCTGCTCAGCCGGAAGCCTGCTTCTTCCTCTCCCACTCCCCCTGCTTGTGTTCCCTCTCACGCTGTCTCTCTCTCTCTCTCCCTGTCAATTAAATAGATAAATAAAATCTTAAAAAATAAAACTATTGAAGTAGTCAACAGCCGATAACTTTTTGTTGTCCACAGGTGCCGTATTGTTGGCAGTATGCATGAGAACACTGCCTGCCTGCCTTTCCTTTTTGGATTTTTTTTTTTTTAAGATTTATTTATTTATTTGACAGAGACACAGCAAGAGAGGGAACACAAGCGGGGGAGTGGGAGAGGGAGAAGCAGGCTCCCCGCTGAGCAGGGAGCCTGATGCGGGGCTGGATCCCAGGACTCCAGGATCACGACCCGAACCGAAGGCAGACGCCCAAGAACCGAGCCATCCAGGCGCCCCTGGATTTTTTTTTTTAAGTTTTTATTAATGTAAGTAATCTCTACACCCAGTGTGGGGCTTGAACTTATGACCCTCAGATCAAGAGTTGCATGCTCTTCCAACTGAGCCAGCCAGGTGCCCCTTCTTTGGATTTTTTATTCAGCAAGTGTTTGTTGAGAACTTGTTATTTTCTGGGTTCTGGAACTCCACCAGTGAAAGAGACAGCTATGGCCCTCCCTCTGGAGCCAGAGTTGGGCCTCCTTTGAGCTGAGAGGAGGAAATTAGGGGCTCTCAGGCAGGACTGGGGTTGAAGAACGTGGGAGGAAAGTGTACCCAAAGGGAGACTGGCACAAAGTGGTAATGAGAAGACATCTATGGAAGCTGGCTTTCCCTTCCTACCCTTTTTTTTTTTTTAAGATTTATTTATTTATTTTAGCATGTGCAAGAGAGTGGGGGAGGGGCGGAGGGAGAGAGAAACCTAAGCAGACTCGCTGCTGAGTGCGGGGACTGGATTCCAGGACCCTGAGATCATGACCTGAGCCCAAACCAAGAGACACCTAACCAACTGTGCCACCCAGGTGCTCCTCTCCCCTTTGTATTTTTAAGATAAGCAAAAGGCCCTGTTGCTCCAGCAAGACTATGCCCTCCCAGAGCAAGACCATGCCCTCCCAGAGTGTGTAGTTATCAAACAAAACAATTAATGATCAGATTTAATCACATACATAATCACTGTTGTGCAGCGTGATAATTAGGTGCAGGAAGTTTACCTAACTTACCATAACTAGTAACCTAGACAACCAGATTGCACTTGTTCTTGTCTGCCTACTTTTAGTTTCACATGCAAGCAGCATGGGACCTGCAGTCTTCAGGTGCCTGGGGTATGTATGTCTTCTGCATGGCCACATGCACCTCCACCTGTCTAGAGGCTCTGGGACCTTTTACTCTGCCCTCTTCCCTCCACTGGGTGGCCCACAGGTCCTATCCAGCCCCCTTTTCTCTCAGCAGCCTGCGTGCTGAGTGGCCCAGGATAAATCTTGGCTCTCAGGGTCACCAAGGACATAGAGCTGAGATGTTCTTTCTTAAAAGTCTGTAAAAAGAGGTCAGTGTGGACAAGCTGGTGTGGGGCTTATTCTGCAGTCGACAAAGTCTACCTTGGCCCCTTGGTAAAAGAATGCAGGATGCATAGCTGGGCAGCCTTACACCATCTCTGTGATCTGTCCCATTTTACTTTGTTCATGTTGTTCCTTGATCTAGAGGCCCTTCCTCTCTCACCCAAATGCTGTCTGTCGTTGAGGGTCCTGGGTAAGCCCTCTCTTCTTCAGGAAGCCCTCTGAATACTCTTCTCTCCATGTGATGACCACCTACCTTCACATTCTGGACTTAACATTAATGAACTGCACAGTTCATCATTATTATTGGAGATGAGAATATATCTGATTTGGAGTCAAGAGAAGGTCCCATTTACTATATATACTGGGTTTTTTTTTTTTTTAAGATTTTTTTATTTATTTATTTGACAGAGAGAGACACAGCGAGAGAGGGAACACAAGTAGGGGGAGTGGGAGAGGGAGAAGCAGGCTTCCCGCGGAGCAGGGAGCCCGATGCGGGGCTCGATCCCAGGACCCTGGGATCATGACCTGAGCCGAAGGCAGACGCTTAACGGACTGAGCCACCCAGGCGCCTATACTGGGTTTTTTTTTTTTTTTTTCCCAGCATATTGAGATATAATTGACAAGTTAATTACAATATATTTGAAGTGTACAATGTGATCTATAATTATGGATTTCCACAATTGAATCCATATCCATCACCTCACATATTATTTTGTAATAATGCTTAAAAGCTACACTTCTCAGCAAATTTCAATTATGTAGTAAATTATTAACTCTAGTCACCATGCTGTTCATTAGGTCCTCAGGCCTTAATTGTCACTGAAAATTTGTACCCTTTTACCAACCTCTCCCTATTGTCCCCACCTTCAGCCCCTGCAGCCACCATTCTACTGTTTCTATGACTTAAATCTTTTATTTTTAAATTTTTATTTTTTTAAAGAATTATTTGACAGAGAGGGCACAGGTAGGCAGAGCGGTAGGCAGAGGGAGAGGGAGAAGCAGGCTCCCCACTGAGCAGGGAGCCGATGTGGGGCTCGATTCCAGGACTCTGGGATCATGACCTGAGCCAAAGGCAGATGCTTAACCGACTGAGCCACCCAGGCACCCCTTAAATCTTTTTTTTAGGTTCCACATACAAGTGATACCATGTATGTCTTTGCCTGGCTCATTTCACTTTCTGCTCTTTATTTTCTAAGCATTCTAGGACAACATCAGTTAAGCCTCTATCAAAATATATCCTTCTCTCGCTTTGTCTCTCTGTCAAATAAATAAAATCTTTTAAAAAGCGGGGGGGCCTGGGTGGCTCAGTCGTTAAGCGTCTGCCTTCGGCTCAGGTCATGATCCTAAGGTCCTGGGATCGAGCCCCACATCGGGCTCCCTGCTCAGCAGGAAGCCTGCTTTTCCCTCTCCCACTCCCCCTGCTTGTGTTCCTTCTCTCGCTTTGTTTCTGTCTGTCAAATAAATAAAATTTTAAAAAACGCCTCTATCAAAATACAAACGTAAATAATATCTAATATTTAGTGCTTACCATGTGTTAGGCACTGTGCTAAAAGCCTCACTACCTTCCCCGTTCTCACTTAATCCTTCCTATCATTAATCCCCCTGTATAAATGCTAAATCTAAAGGTGTGAAGGTTCAGAAAAAGCGTGCCGAGCAAACCATGTATTATAATATCTGAAAAGATAAAATGTAATTACAAGCCTAGAAGAAACTCAGGATATATACCAACATACTAGCAATGAGTTTATCCGTGGGGTGAGATGGAGGTTGGTTTTTGTTTTCTCCTTTATACCTTCGAAGGACCATTACTTAAACTTTTTGTCCCCCTAGACTCCTGTTTCTGGGTGGAACATGTAGAAAATGCTCAATAAGTAGGTACTGGTGGAGGTAGAAAATGAAGGCCTCTTCTTTCCTTGGCTTGATTGGGTAGCTCTGGTTTTGTAAGTTCCTTTAGTAGCTGGTGCAACTGTGCTGCTGTTCATCTGGAAGATTCCCCAGATGGGCTGCTCCTTCGCACTGCCAGATAGAGGCCTCTGGGGGCGGGAGGTCAGCTTGCCTTGTGAGACGCTACTTCCCTGGCTGACGAAGGTTCGGCCCTGGCAGCGGCACTGGGAACTGCCTGGCTAGCTTGTTTCATCTCCTTCAGCCCGGCCGAGTCGGGCAGGCTGGGGCCGCTCTGCTTGGGGGGACTCCATGTACCTGATACTGCTTGTCCAGTGCCTTTCGAACTGGTCTGTGCGCAAGGCTGGCCTGCCGGCGACAGCTGGGACGGGCCAGCCCACGTGCCCTTGCTGCCCGACTCAGAGCCGCTGCTTGCTTTTGTTCTAAGCTTTATCTGTGATGTTGTTATTTTGTGTCTTAGGTAACTTTTGACTTTGTTGTAATTTCAAACATACAGAAGAGTTGTAAGAATGGTACAAAGAACTCTTGTGCACCTTTTATCCAAATTCATCACCAGCATTTTGCCTCATTTGCTTTTACTTGGTATGTCCTCCCGCCCTCTCTCTATTACGTATATGCACGCGCACACACATTCTGAGCCATTTTACAGTAACTTGCAGACAGTGTGCTCCTTTACTTTTAAAAACTTCAGGATACAGTTCCTAAAACAAAGACATTCTCGTACATAATCACAGCACAATTTATAAAAATCAGCAGGTTCAATATCAATACGATGCTATTACCTAATCCACTGTCCATATTTAAATTTTGTCCATGCTCAGATACTGGTCCCAGTAATGGCAGAGCTTTATTTTTTAAAGAAAACACTCTAAGGCACGTGGGTGACTCCTCCATTATGTTGGCTCAGACGAGAGCGGCACCGGCAGGTGTTTGGGGGAAGTGGCGCCGTGGGCGCCACATCGCCAGCTCCTTGTGTCTCCTCAGGACCAGAAGAGTGAGCACCCAGGAATCACACTCGGCAACGATGTCAGCGGAACTGGAGACTGCGGAGGGGGTGGATGAGTCGGAGAAAAAGAGCTCCGGGGCCTCAGAAAAAGAGAACCACGCCAGGTGAGTGGGGGGGGGCTGGCTACGTTGAGTCCTGTGGGCTTGGGGTGCTGGGGTGTGGTCGGGGTCTTGTCGTGCTGCCGCCGCCGCCCAGGACACCTGACAGGGACTGCAGAGAGGAACAGCATACAGCATCCTGGGCTGCTTGAGCATTCTCCCCCTTTGTTCCCAAGGAAGCAGGTCAGGCACTGCTAGAAGTGCTGAGGAATGGAATTTGATGGTATTTCTGATCCTTTTTTCTTCTTAAAACCCTAAGTGTTTTGTCTTCTGTGCTGAAAAAGCGTCATTAGGCAAAACTGGCACCTTGACCAGTGTTTTCCACTCCTTAGAATGTGGGAGTAGCTCTGACTCCAGGGATTTTTCTTACTGGGTAGGGACAGTTCATGCTAAGCCTCAAGTTACCGAAGCCTGTTCTTCATTGTTCTTATTGTCTCGTTGTAGCCCTGTCACTGACAAAGTGCTTTTTTATATCTTGAAATAACTGCTAATAATAAAGGATTCTTTTCCTAAAGAAGCCAGCAGAGGGAGGGTGGGCCGTGAGGGACCAAGTTTTTGTCACTCTGGTGGATGGATTGTGTGGACCGTGTGAGCTGCTACCCCCATCTTTAGGGTCATGCGTTGTTTGCCTTGCTGTGTACTGGCTGTGGCACCTGTCAGCGCAACTGCATCCTGTGTCATTTTAAGTGATACAGACCTATGTCCTGGCTCCAACTGCCAAACCCGTCTCATTCTGATCCTACACCTGGGCCCAGCCCCATGTAGTCCTGAAGAGGCCGTGGGTGGAAGGTGGGAGGAAGGCAGCAAGGCTGCCTTGGGACAGACACCGTCAGTCCATCACAGCAGCACGGATTCTGCGAGACATGTTCCCCAAGGCTGGCCGCTCCTGGAGAAGCCAGCAAACGCTGTGGTGGGATTAGAGGTGTGTTTCCTCAGGCACTAGGTGGCCACAGAGGCAAAGCATTGTTCATTTGGGTGGTTCATAGAGACACGGACACTGTTAAGGAGTAGGCCACAGTCATCCCCCATGTCACCCAAGTCCTTGGGGCCAACTCACATCTGCCTGCTCTCTGGCAAGACCCTGTATTGATGCTGGAGTGGAGTTTCTGAGCAGCTTCTGCCTCCAGCTCAGCAGGGGGACACCCTGAGACTGGAAAAGGCTAGTTCACACATGCACACGCGCTCGTGCACGCGCGCACACACACACCCCTCCCCCCATCTCCACAGGATGGCTGACCTCTCTGAGCTCCTGAAGGAGGGGACCAAGGAAGCACATGACCGGGCAGAAAACACCCAGTTTGTCAAGGACTTCTTGAAAGGCAACATCAGGAAGGAGCTGTTTAAGGTTTGTGCCCTTGGTTGTGGATATAGGGTCAGGTTGGGGGCCTTAGTCCCATAAGGAGGATCCCCTTGGGAACTGCTCAGAGGCGGAAGCTGGGCCTTTCTCTACCCACTCTCCACTCTTTTGACATCAGATTGTGGTTTTCTTTTTTTTTTTTAAGATTTTATTTATTTGAGACAGAGAGAATGAGAGACAAAGAGCATGAGAGGGAGGAGGGTCAGAGGGAGAAGCAGACTCCCTGCCGAGCAGGGAGCCCGATGCGGGACTCGATCCCGGGACTCCAGGATCATGATCTGAGCTTAAGGCAGTCGCTTAACCAACTGAGCCACCCAGGCGCCCTCAGATTGTGGTTTTCATGAAGCTTAAATAGAAGAGCATAGTGGTAGTGTGCAGGAAGCAGAGGTATCCATGTTCCTAAGAATTCACCATGTCAGTCCTTTAAGGAACATGGAAGTTTCCTGAGTGTGTGAAATAATTCACTGTATAAAAATGGGCTTCTGGGGAATTGGGGTGATGGGGGCACACTGCTGGAGCCTTCACTGGTGGCTCCTCAGACGCGGGGGCAGGTGGGCTCAGGAGATGTGCTTGCTGGTCAAGGCCGACAGCCCTATCCCATGGTCTCCCCCGTTGCCCTCAACAGCTGGCCACTACTGCACTTTACTTCACATATTCAGCCCTTGAGGAGGAAATGGAGCGCAACAAGGACCACCCAGCTTTTGCCCCCTTGTACTTCCCCACGGAGCTACACCGGAAGGAGGCACTGACCAAGGACATGGAGTATTTCTTTGGTGAGGACTGGAAGGAGAAGGTGCGGTGCTCTGAGGCTGCCCAAAAGTATGTGGAGCGGATCCACTATGTGGGGCAAAATGAGCCGGAGCTTTTGGTGGCCCATGCCTACACTCGCTACATGGGGGACCTCTCAGGGGGCCAGGTGCTGAAGAAGGTGGCCCAGCGGGCCCTGAAACTCCCCAGCACAGGAGAAGGGACCCAGTTCTATCTGTTTGAGAACGTGGACAATGCACAACAGTTCAAGCAGTTGTACCGGGCTAGGATGAATGCCTTGGACCTGAACCTGAAGACCAAAGAGAGGATTGTGGAGGAGGCCAACAGGGCCTTTGAGTACAACATGCAGGTACTGCTGGGGGCTCATGGTAGCGGGGGGGAGGCGGGGGTCTCTGACGGTGGGAGCCAATCCAGAGCTGCCTGAACAGGCGTCAGTGCATTAGGCCAGAGGAGCTGCAGCCTGCCAGAGAGAAAGTGGAAGGACCAAATAGGCCACACAGGGCAAGCCCAGCGATGGCTCCACTTTGTTTGACAGACAGCCCGTGTGTTTTTGCTTTGGGGAGGGCGAGGCCCTAGGACAGAGGGTTTTGGGAAAATGAAGCTCCCTCCCTCCCTCTGCCCATAGGATTCTGGTCTTGAGTGGATTTCCTCTTTTTTAGCGAGGGTTCTGAAAAGCTCCACTTGATAAGTTCATGGAGAGAACCAAGGAGAGTGAGAAGCAGAACTCTGTTTACAAGTAGCCTTTAGATGGGGCCAAGCCTGGGGAGGCGGATTCCGTCCCTGGAACCCAGGCCAGCCCTCAGCACCAGGAGAGTGGCCATGGGGGGGGGGGGGGGGAGTGAAGCACCAGCACCAGCCCCAGTGCAGGCCCACTGGCTTAGTCTGACATTAGCAAGCCTCCAAGGGCCACTTAGGATGGGTCAGCCCTGCTGGGGCCTGTTTTCGCATGTTCCTCTCTGTCATTCTTTCTAAAAATACCTAGCCACTGAAAATGGCCAAGTGCCAGTGCTCACAGGGTGTTTTGGGGCAGCGCTTTTGTTCTCTCCTCATTGTTTCTACCCTGGCAGTTTCAGCTGTGGGCTGTGTTGTCTGGTCAGTGCCCAGGGAAGAGCCACCACAGTCAGCAGCGGTGGGATGCTGAGCACAGGGAGAAGTGTTAGGTTGGTGTGGCTGTCCTTGCTGCTGATTGGGGCTGCTCACTTACTGGTTTGGCCTCCTGAGCAAGTCTCACCAGTTCTAGCTTCCTCTGCATGGGGGAAGAAAGAGATATTTCTCCGAAAGGAGAGTGGACCCAGTCAAGTGATGGCTGTTCATCCCCTGCTCCTGCAGATATTCGATGAACTGGACCAGGCTGGCTCCTTGTTGGCCAAAGAGACCCTGGAGGACGGGCTCCCCGTGCACGATGGGAAAGGAGATGTGCGTAAATGCCCCTACTATGCTGCTAAACCAGACAGAGGTAGGTCTCGCCTGTCCCAAACTCTCCTCCCAGGGTGGGCTGTGTCCACGTTCCCCACTGATGCCATGTCCCGTTGGTGCTGCCACACAGGTGCCCTGGAGGGCAGCAGCTGCCCCTTCCGAACAGCCCTGGCTGTGCTGAGTAAGCCCGGCCTGCAGTTCATTCTGGCCGCTGGTGTGGCCCTGGTTGCTGGCCTCCTGGCCTGGTACTACATGTGAAGGACCCATCATACCACGTTGGCGCCCTCCTCCTGAGTGACCACTGGCCTGCCCCCACCTCCACCGGTGACTAAACTACCGCCTCAGGTGACTCTTCTTAAATGCTGGTTTTGAGAAAACAAGCAACCAATAAAGGCCAGACGCTAAAGCCTCTGCCTGTAGCGTCCTCTCTGTGGGCTAGATGCTGAGCTGGCTGTAGGCCCACCATTCCTGCAGCCATTAGGCCATGGTACTGGGAGCAGCCTGGGCCTCTGGAACCAACTCTGCTCCAGGGGCGTCCACACTGCTCACCCTGAGGCTCCTTCCCTTCATTCTTCCTTATGTTGGCATTTAGGTGGGTACCTTTCCCCTGATGGGAACAGAGCAGCCAGCAAGCCCACGCTGCTGTAGCTCTGTGGGAGGGAGGGGTGGCTTGCACCCTGCCTCAGAAGCCTGGGGAGCTCCGTCCTGAACAGCCAATCCTCACCCTCTCAAGCAGAAACTCCAGAAGAGGGGGGTCTGTTTAGCCGTGGCCTATCTCCTCCCTTGACCTGTGTAAATGCTACAGCACTCAATAAAGTGGACTCTGACAGCTGCCTCCCTCTTTCCTGGCACCAACATTATCCTTCTCAGCCACTCCTGCCCTTCCTGTGCTCCCAACACCCCTGGTCACCTCACAGCCCTCTGCCCAGAGCAAAGCCACCGTGTCTCACAATGTGGTCCTGTGATTCTCTCTCGCAAGTGCCTGGGAGGTTTCCTACTTTTTGAAATAATTTGTTTATAAATAAGGATAAAAAGTGTATGCTTGTATTATAACAATTCTTGTCTAAAATACAAATGTGAACTTAAATATTTTTATTGATAGGAATCAGTTTCTTGTTTTATGTATTGAGGATCTGCAAAAGTTTTATTCAGGAAAGGGTTAAATGGCGAGGAAAACATTGTCTTCGACTACTGACCAAGCCTACCCGTTTTTCACAGTTCAGATGAGGGCTAGTAGGGGTGGAGCTGGCTCAGAACCTAGGGGCTGACTAGCTGCCCCCCATTAGCCTTCAGACCAGAAGCCTCAGCCCCAGTGATTCTGTCTTGCTTAAGGGAGCAAGGGTATTTGCCTGCAGGGTGGGATGACCCTGAGCTAAAGCCAGGGGGCTCCAGCCTGCAGACGGTGTGGGCAGATGCCGTGGCATGGAGATAGGTGAAACCAGTGTCAGAGATAGGAAGGTGCCCTTTGAGCGCAGTGAAGCCAACTCCTACCCCGACCCAGTCACGGCTAGAACCCCACGGCTTGTCCACACCGGGTTTGGGTGTGGTTTAATCAGATACTTAGTGTCATCCCTGGGCAGTCAGTGCAGCACAAGCACAAAGACCCAGAGGACTCAAGCCCCTGCCCTTAGACCACTTCTAGCCCCCACCCTCTTTCCGTCAAAGAAGGAAGCCAGGCAGGAGAGCAGAGGCCCAGGGCAGGGGAGTGAAAGGGCCAATTTAATGAGAAACTACAAACTGAGACCAGCCATGATTCACAGTGACAGGAGGCCATGCAGTGGCAGTGTGAGACCAGGAGAGGGGTGGCAGCAGGATACAGCGGTCCACGTGAGCAAGTTCACAGACAAGCCATTCACGAAATACAGTGTGGGCTCAGGCCCAGGGCAGGTGTCCACCAGGGCACTTCCGCCACTTGGGGCTGCTCCTTCCTTGTCCCCGGCCTGTCCCAGTCCAGTGCCACAGCTGCTCCTGCTGCAGTACCTGCTGTTGAAACAAGCACAGTGACAGCAAGTCAGCCAGGGCCCAGGGCCCAGCACTTACTGAGAAGAGGATCCATGGAGCGTGCGTGACGAATCTGAGTGTGCTTGCAAGGAGGCCCCTTCTCTGTCATCTCCAGTCCTAGCTGGGACACACCAGCCACTGGGCAAAGGTCTTGCCGATACATAGCCATACATAGGACATGGTATGGCTATGGGTTAGGCTCCTGGGCATTCCTTCTGGCCCTAGCAAAGACGGGGGCTTGTGGAGGGGTGGCCAGAAAGGGAGCTGGGTGGGGGCCAGAAGCAAGTCCCTTCTTAGCAAGCTGGGGCCTAACCACTCATCCCACGACTTGCAGATGTGCTGACCTCTCTCCCTTACCCCAGGGGACTCCTGGGCACTTGGACAGGGTGTTAAGAGTTTGAGAGTTCTAAGAGCCAGAGTCATCCTTCTAATCATGTCCACCTCTAGTACCCCAGGAACAAAGCCAGGCCTTAGGACTCTGTCCTGCTTGGGTCCACTCCCCGACTCTTGGCCCAGGAGATCAGAAATAACTGTGGCTATAGGTCTGCAGGCCCCAGGTCTGCTCTGGCTGCTTGTGGTCCCAGGGAGAGTTAGGACCAAATCTATACTTTGTACAGAAATGGAGGAACGAGACCCCAGCAGGGAGACCGTGCAAGGAGACCCTTCACAGCTTCTCTTCCTGATCACAAACACCAACCAAACCAGCAACACACAGGCTCAGTGCTATCCCCCTGCCACTTGCTGACCCTTGGCCTTAAATCCATCAGGATTTTTGCCGCAAGAGTCAGATGCTCAGGGAAGGGCAAGCCAAAGAGGACGAGACTTCCAGGGACTGGTGGAATGGCTTCCACCCCCAAGTGGGAGCAAGGAAGCGAGCCACTGAGCGAGGGGAGCAAAAGCACAGGGGGCCAGACTGACAGCAGGGAGTCCAGTCCCGGCTCCGTTAGCACAGGCGCTTGTACGTGTAGATGTAGGCTTTGCAGCTGGGGCATGTGTGCGTCACATCCTTGAAGTCGTTGATGAGACAGGGGATCAAGCAGCAGCCCAGGTCACACCTGAATCAGAGACCGGGAAGACGGGGAGGTCAGAAGAGAAGGCACGGAGGGCACGCAGGCCTACTCCAGCTCGGCGGCCGGTGGGCACAGCCCCCACCCCCCCAAGCACCCACATCACCTACCCCATGAAGCAGCAGAAGAAGCCCAGCACGAAGTTCATCAGGCCAATCTCATAGGAGATCTTGGTGGTGATGGCCTGCTGGCAGTGGGGACACACTGTCTGTACAGGGGCGCCCTCGAAGATCTCTCCCTGCAGTACTGTCACTGTGGTGGCAGCCCCTGAAGGAACTAGGACTGTGGCAGTGTGGCCCCCAGGGCCAGAATAGGGCCCTGGAGGGTAAGGCCCTGGTGGATAGTAGCCCATGGGTGGGTGGGGGCCTGGAGGAGGGTAGAAACCTGGAATGGCACAGAAGACAGAGTAAAGACAGGTTACTGGCTTGCCACCTGCCCCATGTGGCCCCTAGGATACAAGGGGAGGCCTCCAGGACCCGGCCCTGGGCCAAGGCGACCATCTACATTCTCCTAGCCCTGTGAGACCAAGATAGAGAAGCTGCTTGGCCCAGCTAGACATGGCAGAGCCGGGAAGAAGGCCTAATCTCTCCTCGGTCTCAGCTTGATGTGTTTGCTCCTTGCCTCTGACATGCAGGGGACCTCAACCACAGGAGGGAGAGCCTTGCCACTCACCAGCCCAGCTCCTCTTGTGCACACAGGGCTCTCGGCCCCACCAGTGTCAGATCCTGCACTGAAATACCAGGGACTGGCCCACGTCACCTGGGGCCACCTGTGCAAGAGCCCTGAGCCCTTCTTTGGCCTGAGGAGTCCTTAAGAACTGCTGGCTGAGCAGGAACCCAGGCCTCCCCCATGGATTCAGGACCCTGGCAGGGAGAGGCCCCCACAGCACCCACGAGTCAGCACCTGCCACTGTGCCTTAGGGGCCTTCCCAGGAGCTAGCCCTCCTCCCAGCAGGGCCCAGGGCTCATGTGGCTTGCCCACAGTACTTGCACAGCAGTGCTTTGCTTTAGGACACCTTCCCATGTCCTCCATCCACACCCACAATCAACGCCCCCAGCCCTGAGAAAACACTGGGCAGGAAGACCACCTACCTGCTGCAAAGGCTGGACGACAGCCCAGATAACATGCTGGATGCTGGACCGGGCAGACCCCTGTGCTCCCCTTTCCTACTTACCTGGAGGCATGTAGGTGCCATCTGCATTCACATGCGGGGGGATGAAGCCAGGCTGAGGCATTGGGTGACCTGGTGGCTCATAGGGTGGGGGACCAATGTCTGCAGGGGGCATCGACATGCCCGGAGGGGGCTGCATCACAGCTGGGGAGGTACGGCCTGGACAGAGAAGGGCAGGGAGAGGGAGCTCAGAGGGCAGTGGCTGCGGAGTCCCTGGGAGGGCTGCTCCAGGCACCAGCTCCTAGGAGCGGGGACGGGCAAGGCACAAGGGACAGGACCATCAGGAACACTGAACCCTACCTGGGGTAGGTGGGGCTCCACTCTTCTCCTCCAGAAGGGGGGCTGTGGGACCTCCAGGATAAGGAGGGGGTGGCTCGTTGGACATCTTTGCTGCTTCTGGACCTGGAAGGAAAGCCGCGACATGAACTAAGCTCCCAGCCCCTGCATGTTGGTCAAGCACAGGTCTGTGACAGTTCTCTGAGCCCCAGCAGCTCAGGTGGCCTTTTAGTCCTCGTCAATCTCTGCACTCTGGGTGGGGGACAGGGCTTGTGGACTGGCTCAGATTCCTTCAGTAGAGCAGTTTAGAGTCATCGGGCTCCCTCTAGGCCTTGGAGATATCCTACCATCAGCAAGGATAATCAGGCCCAGAGCCGCCACCATCCACATCATCCCCGCTTCCTGTGTCAAAGCCAGAAGGTAAGGGTGCCCTGTGAGGAAAGAAGCTGGTAAGGCGGACCCTCCCTCCAGGGCAGCAGGCTGCCTCGGTGCCAGAGCACTATGCTTGTGGGAGACTTTTTACCTCAAATCCCAAGTACTCAGAAGGGGAAGGCAGGACAGGCTCCTTCCACTGGCGGCCTGAGCAGACACGCAGGGCTCTAGGGAGCTGTTCTGGGGGGAGAACAACAGGCAGAGCCTCAGCACTAGAGCAAGAGGCGCAGCCAACACACCCCACCCCATCTGGCTGGTTCCCGCCGGCACAGCAGCAAGCCGGCCTGCCCATCGACTCCTCAGCTCCGCTTCCCCTCTCACAGCTGCAGGTCCTGTGCACTCCAGGCTCACACCAGCCCCCACAGACCTGCACCCACTGCAGGAAGAAAGGAGAACAGGCTTCTCCCCACCCCAGCAGCTCTTTGAGCCAGCTGTGCACGCAGGGCCCCGCCCCGTTTTTGTGGTGGACAGGGTGGGAAGGAAGATGCGGAATGAAACATTTCCCTCATCTCTTTCCCTCCCAAGGCTCACTGAGCACCTGCTGCTGGGCCCTGGGGGAGAAACAGGAAACCAGGGGCCTTCCTGCCTTGGGTCAGCATCCTGTCTTTAGCAAGGCACTTCCTTTCACTCTATTCAGCATAGAAGGTTTGCAATTAGCATTTTGAAGTGAAGCTCAGTTGATTTTTTTTAACTGAAAATAATATGAATCAGAACAAATTCTGACACCCAGTGACAGCAGCTCTCCTAGGGCAGCTCCATCCGAGAGCCCCGCTAGAGGGAAGTTCAGAACCCCACCGGAGCAGAAGGAGCCTGGAGTCAGTATGTTTATTAAATGTCACAGATCAGTGGCAGGGCCCAAGAGATCAAGTCCAAGCAACTAAAGAAAAAAACCGAATGTCACTAAATTAAAAACTTGGGCTTCGGGGTGCCTGGGTGGCGCAGTTGTTTAAGCAGCTGCCTTCAGCTCAGGTTGTGATCCCAGGATCCTGGAATCGAGGCCCACATCGGGCTCTGTGCTCAGGGGGAAGTCTGCTTCCTCTCCCTCTGCCCCTGCTCTGATCTTGCTCACTCACACTCAAATAAATAAAATCTTTAAAACAAACAACAACAACAAAAACTTGGGCTTCAACAGGCACCATCAAGAAAGTGGAGACAGTTCCCAGAACGGCAGAAAAGTTTTACAGATCTATCTGCTAAAAGACTTGTATTTAAAATACATGAAGGGGGCGCCTGGGTGGCTCAGTCGTTAAGCATTTGCCTTCGGCTCAGGTCATGATCTCAGGGTCCTGGGATCGAGCCCCATCCTGCTCAGCAGGAAGCCTGCTTCTCCCTCTCTCACTCCCACTGCTTGTGTTCCCTCTCTCACTGTGTGTCTCTCTGTCAAATAAATAAATAAATAAAATCTTTTAAAAAAATAAATAATAAAATACATGAAGAACTCTAACTCATTAACAAAAAGACAACCCAATTAAAAAATGGCAAAAGATCTGAATACACCTTTCTCCAAAGATTTAAAAAAAAAAAAAAAGCCCAATAAGCACCTGAAAAGAAGCTGAACACTTAGCCTAAAGGAAATGCAAATCAAAACTACAATGAGGTACCATTTCATATCCATGAGAATGGCTACAGTGAGAAAATAACAAGTATTATGCGGAGACACAGGAGTCCTCCCAACTGCTGGGGGCGGGTGGGGGTGTGTGAAATGGCCGGCAGCTGTCCCCCTGCTAACACACAGTTACCACGTGACGCAGTTCCGCTGCTAGGTGCGCACCCAAGAGAACTGAAAACCACAGAAGAATTTGTACATGAATGTTCACAGCATCATTATTCATAGTAGCCAAAAAGTGTAAACAACTGAGGTGTCCAACCACTGGCAAATGGATAAACAAACTATAGCTGTACGCCTCCAGTGGAAACGTACCAGCCATGACAAGGAATGAGGCTGCTACAGTCTGGACGAACCTGGAAAACGGGCTGCTCAGAGAGACCAGACACGAAAGCTCACATGTGGTGTGCTCCTTACGTGAGGCGCCCAGAACAGACGAATCGAGACAGAAAGCGTACTCGTGGTTGTCATGGGCTTGGGGGTGGGGGCAGACAGAGAATGATGAATACGGGGTTTCCTTTGGGGGTGATGAAAATGTGCCAAAACTGGCTGTAATGATGGTTGCACAATTCTGTGATTATATTAAAAACCAGTGACTTGCACACTTTAAATGGGGAAATCATATGGTAGGTGGAGTATTATATGTCAATAAAACTTATTAAAAAACAAAATAAAATTGCCCAATCTCACCACCTTAATGCAGCTAGTCTCCCTGCATGTCCCTGCCCGTCTGTATGCAGTCACGTATATTTTTTTTTCATTCTTTTTTTTTATTCTTATGTTAATCCCCATACATTACATCATTAGTTTTAGATGAAGTGTTCCATGATTCATTGTTTGTGCACAACACCCAGTGCTCCATGCAGAATGTGCCCTCCTCAATACCCACCACCAGGCTAACCCATCCTCCCACCCCCCTCCCCTCTAGAAAGTCACGTATATTTTTATATACTTGCTGTTGTGACAGTTTTAACATCATGTCCTATATATTTTGTCCATCTTGCAAGACCCCATGACCATCAATTTTAATATTCCCTAAAATGGGCTCATCACTGTTTATGTGACCAACCCTTATTAAGGCATTTAGAATGCTTGCTACTTTCAAAAAAAAAAAAAAACCCACCACCACCAACAGGGAAAACCTCTGGCTAATGCTCTTTCCCTTTCTTGGATCATTTTCTTTCGTTAAACTTGCCAGAAATGAAATTAGGTCAAAGGGTATGGCCACTTTGTGCCTTTGGGAAGGATGATGGCAATTTATAGTAGACACTTTGGATACTACTCTTACCACTAATTTGTAACATTAAAATGACAGTCGGTACTTACTTCTTTGACCACCATGAAGCAGAACATGTCACAAGTGCTTGTATATATTATGAGCGTCTCTTCTGAGTTGCTACTTACAATAATCCTTCAAAGACATGAAAGCCAAGAAAAAAATGGGACTTACCCAGGTCACGTGGCATGTCAGAGAAAGAGGTAGAGCTGAGTGTAGGACTCTGCATGACTCTCCCACCCACCCCTGCCTGCAGGTGAATTTCAATAGCGCATGATGAAGGGAAGCTACAGAGCCTCTCAAGGACATCACACAAAGTCCCCTTCCAGGCAAGACTGGCTGTGTGTGCTGGGCCTGGAGATCCTTGGCAGCCCACCAGGCACCCTCCTGATGGCAGAAAAAGAGGTTTGTCGTGCTTCCGCGGGAAACTTTGTATCCTGCTGAGTGTCTTAGAATATGGGCCAGCACCTGTCACGGACTCCTACCCTACCAGCACGTGGGATGCCCCAGGTGGTACCACTGTCTATCTCAGCCCTGGCTCACCAGGAATCCCGCCAGGAAGAAAAGGTGCACTGTGCTTGGTGAGTCACTGGAGCACTTTCCGGTGCTAGGAGAGAGGAACTAGCCTGGATCCTCCCGGCCACTCCGTGTCCAGAGGGCACATACCACTTGCACCACCCTCTGAGGATGCAAGCATGGCCTGCGTTTTCATCAACATCACATCTAGTTCCAGTTTCCTAGAGCACAAGATTCTACTTCTGGAATTCTGCCATCATAATGATGTTACAAGCCTGGCACACAGGGCAAAGCCCTCCGTGGTATCCACCCAGCTGAGCCATCCTCTGTACCTAGAGCAGGCACTGATGTGTGCCACATGGACGCCAGCCACTGACTGGGCCACCACCTGCTTCCACAGCTTCCCTCGGCCAGCACCCCTGTTGCTCCTCTGTCTCCCCTCCCCTCCACACCCATCCTCCAGCTGCCTTCTGGAGCTGTCAACTGTGGCAGAGACGGGGGGCAGGACACTTCAGTATGAAGGGGAGAGGTTGGGGCGCCTTTGTGGCTCAGTCAGTTGGGCGTCTGCCTTCGGCTCAGGTCATGATCCCAGGGTCCTGGGATCAAGCTCCATGTCGGGCTTCCTGCTCAGCCGGGGTGTCTGCTTCTCCCTCTGCCTCCCCCGCTCCCCCTAGCTTATGCTCTCTCTCTCTAAGTAAAATCTTAGGGAAAAAAATGGAGAGAGGTTTCTGAAGAATGAATCGTGAACTTTTCTGGAATTCAACCCCTAGTTCCCCAAGTGCCTCCCGATATAAAACCATGGGGCATGCCACAAAACTATGTTGTCTAAGGTGCAATAAAAACTGTAAGAATGCTATCATCTTTAAAAAGAAAAATCAGGGCGCCTGGGTGGCTCAGTTGGTTACAAGTTGGCCCTTCTGCTCAGGTCATGATCCCAGGGTCCTGGGATTGAGCCCCACATGGGGCTCCCTGCTCAGCGGGGAGGCTGCTTCCCCCTCTCCCTCTGCCTGCCGCTCCCCCTGCTTGTGCGCTCTGTCAAATAAATAAAATCTTTATTTATTTATTTTTTAAGATTTTATTTATTTATTTGACAGAGAGAGACACAGCGAGAGAGGGAACACAAGCAGGGGGAGTGGGAGACGGAGAAGCAGGCTTCCCACTGAGCAGGGAGCCCGATATGCAGGGCTCGATCCCAGGACCCTGAGATCATGACCTGAGCCGAAGGCAGACGCTTAACGACTGAGCCACCCAGGCACCCCTAAATAAAATCTTAAAAAAAAAAAAAACAAACACATGTCAGGGCGCCTGGGTGGCTCAGTCAGTTAAGCGTCTGCCTTCGGCTCAGGTCATGATCGCAGGGTCCTGATCAAGTCCCACATTGGGCTCCCTGCTCAGCGGGGAGCCTGCTTCTCCCTCTCCCCCTGCTGTGCTCTCTCTCTCTCAAATAAACAAAATCTTAAAAATAAAAAAATCACTCATCTAAAAGCAAAACAGTTTTCCAATAAAAATGCACACTGCTCAAATGACACGACAAATGCAAATGTGGAAGCTGAGACCGCACCCGGGCAGCTTTGCTGTTATGCAGGCGCTGCCGCTCTGGTAACTAGAGGCTACGGAACGGGTTGCAAGACCCAAGTCCCCGCGGTTCGCAGTTCCCCACAGAGGAGAGGGAGGCCTGCAGTCCTGGGAGCGTCAGTGAAGTCAGCGTGCAGCCCCGGAAAGCCAAAACAGGCCTCTCAGCCTCCTGTTCCCATCCCTTGGACGTGAAGTGGGAAGAAACTG